TAATTCCCAAGCTCGGGAATAAGGATGGCGTGCTTATATGGAGGGTGTGCTTATATGGAGGGTGCTTAAATAGAGGGTTGACTGTAGTACTTTGTCGAGCCCATTGAAAACAAAGACTTTTCGGACTTACGAAAATAAAATTTTTCATGCTTCACTATAGAGAGGGTTGACTGTAATTTATATCCGTGTAACATTCGCAATATGTTGACCATATTAATATTTATGATGCGACACTCATACTTCCACCCAATAGTCCTTAAATCACTCTTTCTGTAAGGGAATCGGTGAGGCATAGTGGCTGGAATATATACAATGCTTTATATGAAACCATTCTTAGTGCATTGTGTAAGTCGTACAAAAAAATTTATATGACGACGGTCTGTCTTACAACAAATAGAGTTGCAGGGAGATTCCCAAATTTGATAATACAGAAGAAAATTCTACCGGTGATTTCTCTAATAACAGTAACGGGTTGCAGCCCATGGGTACTTTACACGTATTATATACTTCACAGCTAATACTGGTTGGTCCTTTGAACCGCTTTCAAATTCCCTATGTCAATCAAATTTTGCACAAAATTTGACAGACTCTCTCTTATCTGTTAATGCCACTAATCAGATACCTCCTGCAATATTTCTGAACTAGTCATTTTCGACCCATATTGGTTACGCATTATTTCGTCCAATAAACGGAAATATCGCCTCCAATAGCTTTTAAGATGGTTTAATTCTCAGTTTGAGTAACTTGTCTGTTCGAGTATCAAAAATACATAATGCATTTTATTATTTCTATATAAATTTTACGTCGATCACCCCAAAACGCTCACATGATAACGATGGCTTTAACTGTTTGTTCATCTAAGATTACTGTCTCAACGGGGCATTTTTTGATACAACTGACTGGTTTAAGTAAGCGGCATGTATGTCCAGAGGCATTTCGAATTTCTGCAGCACGCATTTTTTGACTGAAACTATGACTTTCCTTTTTACGTTCCTCAGGGGAAATTTTATTCAGCGTAAGATTGAGATGCTTTTGCGCTTTAATACAAAGAGTTTTTTTCGTTGAACTTTCTCATTCTGAAGGATTAATAATAATTCTTCAAGAATTCAAAGAAATCTTTGTATTATTAAGGTAGTGGTCGCATCGTTACCGTAAATAGAAATTATTCTTGTACGACACAAATATCCGAAATTTTTGTTTATTTCCCTCCCTGCTATGCTTAATAGAGTTGTATCAACCATGACTGTACATATCATGCAATGGTCGTTATCATACGATCAGCTCTTCGGTAATGTCGAATTACTGTATATAGAGATTATCAATTGTTCTCACCAGAATTACTATCTACACGGGTATTAAATAATGTATCTATCACAGCATATCATAGCAGCTATCACACAGCCTATCATAGCAGATATCACACAACGGTCGATAATGTCAATTATTCTTTGACTAAAGCATCAATCATACGATTTATTATTCAACCCAGCATATAGCGCTTCAATATTTCGGCGGATTAAAATGAAATCGGATTAAAACGAAATTTGGGGTTTTCTTGGATCCTCTTTTAGTGCCACATTAACGAAAGTTGCCCTAAATCTATTTAATCCGATTTCGGTTTAATCTGTCACATTTATTCATATATCACACAATGCTATCGTCAATGGCATATTGACTAACTTTTCAAATGTTGAACCACTCTACACAATATGATTAGAGAATTAAAGTATCGTTATCGTATGCGGCATCTGATAGACTCTATTAAACAATTAAATTGTAACACAAAAGAATACAAAACGCATAGCATAGATAATAAAGAAAGGGAAATAACCCCGAGTATAATTGAAATGTGTATTAATCACCACAAGTCAGGCGTTTTGGGGTGATCCGACGTAAATTATATATATAATTACTATTTGTAGCCATTTCGTTGTGTAATTCATCTGAGCAGTCAAATAATTGATTGATGCCCCTGATATTGTCATAAAAATTACGAAGACCTGAAACACCGGATGACCAGTGTGGCTTTGTAGTCCAACTCGAAGTCTCACGCCACTTGCAATTATGGAGTAAAAGCTGTGTGCCTTGTGTTTTTTGCCTTTCTTCAGTGATATTCCAATATTAATATTAAAGCTGTACGTTTTATTTATTATTCTAGGATGTGAAATTGTGATCCATGAGAGAATGAGTTATCGTTCATATTTTACTTTGAGCTATTAACACTGACTACTTTCACTCAGATATTGATTAGATTTACGAATTTTCTTGGGAGACGGTTCAGTAGATGATCCAATTGGTGCCTTAAGAAATTTGTGTTATTCTATTAAAAGCGCATTAACAAGTGGACATTATGAACAATGATAATCACGACTTACCATTGACTCTCCAGGAGAACTTGAACCTTCTGGGAGTTTTCTCTTTCCTGTGGATTTACTACTATTACTATTAACCTTACGCTTTCTTGGCTCACCTTCGAAGACTTCTTTTGGTAATTGATTGCTGTCGCGCACACAAAGAAAGAAAACAGTCATAGCTGGAGATGCTGGTAGAAAAGGAGCAGAATGATATAAAAAGCAGAAATTACATACTTTTTCACATATTTTACAGCTACACCCATCGATTTTTCATCGTATTTATCCCATGACTTGACCATTTTTGTAAATTCACTGGTGGGCCATGAAATATCTAGTTGCTTTGGATTTGAACCACCTAACAATAGAAAGTTGTCAAGGACATGAGAGTGTTCCAGAAACAACAACAGAAAGAAGAAATAAATAAATAATAAATAAATAAAGAAGCAGAAGTCCAATGTGAAGCCGCGTAAGTAGCCCTACTATCGGTGTTCATACCAGCGCGGAACTCAATACGTAATCCAATATAAAAAGTCGTAGTGCACACGATCCTCCCCCCTGGCTTTCCATCTCTCTTACTATCCTGTGTATGTTCGGAGTTGTTCTCTTCACAATGCTCGCAGATGCCGAAAGCAACATCTTGCGCTTCCTGATCATTTGCACAGTGATGAATCTTATCGAAACCTTTTACATATGGGTGTGCTAAACCAAGATTTTCTACTAATTCTAATCTATTGATAAGATGACGAATTCGCGACTCAACCATGCCAGCCCTAGATGATTAAATATATTGGAATCAACCCAAACAATGTCGGCAAATAGATAAATAGAATTTGAACTTTATAATCATACCATTTTAACTGACGTTCTGGCGAATCCGATGATGCTATTATTTGTAAATAATACTTGTACCGTTCAAAGAAGTCATGCTTTTTGAATAGCTCTGCCCATTTGCCGGTACCAATCATGACCTTGTCGGCGATCTCAGCAGCTAAAATTTATTGCATGTTAACTCATGATGAGACACATTACGCATATAAGGGTTTAAAGAATAAAACTATCTCACCTCGTTTAAATTCAGATTCAATAATTTTCTTTGTGGAAGCTGTCACATTGTGGGTGGCGCACATAGATGGATAAGCAGGCGTAATTATTGGCATCAAGTGTCCCCGGTCTATAGGATAGAGCTTTGGCCAGATCGTGTTGCACATCACTCATATGAAATGTCCGTTTAATGTTGTTGAACAATGAAGTAAACAATCTCAAGACTCTATATGAATCTTACCTTTGGATTCCACACTCTGACTTGAAGAGGGCCTTCTTCTATTGGTTTCAGCAACACTGGTTGGGGCCATTTCCTGTAAAAGCAGAACGTCTGATCAAAGGCACAACTCATCAATCACATCATCATAATCAATATATCAAAGAAAGGCTCACCATTGATACATTATTATGAAAAAACGCGACACTATTGCGCCAGCAATTGCATTCGGATATAGTTGACAGATCCGGGCAATTAACATAGCCCAAGCTACACCACCAAAAAAGCCCAAAACATTTGAGTAAATTGCACGCCCTGGCATTGGGAACAGTTATTGTTAATACGAATCCATAAAGATCATAATTATGCTCAGACCGTAATTGACATACTTTTTGCCCAAAGTTTTATGCAACGTAAGGATGTCCTGAAAGCAGGAATGTTTGGTACAAGACGAAGTATTTCGTCGGTCACTCGTGAGCCTTATGGGGTAAGTATTGACAATCAGGTATCGGGGTAAATGAAAACGCCATACACATCGATGCAAACAGTACCATTTAAGCTCCTAATACAAGGCTCATCTAAATTTTTTAGCAGAGAGTTATCTCTCAAATCAAGATCATCTGTAACTTTATTCACGCCCAGGCTTGCGAATACTAAATCAATCTACAAAACGTGTTATGTTTGAATATTTGCAGATAACAGACAACTAAAATAAGCCAATGCATCTATCAATCATACCGGAATATTTTGAAACTTCATCTTTATAACCGGGACGAATGCGTCAGCTATGCTCTACATAATTGTTGGGTATGTCAGTTTTCCTCAATTGCTTCAATAGACTTCATTACGATTACAGTACCGTCAACTCTGTAACTTCCTGTAATTGAGCAAGAGCATCGTGCATATCATTGAAGAAATCCTCTCGTTGCACATGACGCGGGACAACACATAAAGTATCGATATCGGTACCTGTAAAATGGTAGTTAATATCAAAATCCCTTGGCCTCATAAGGGTCCGAATATCCCATTAAGAAACGTACCTGTCCCATGAACTCCAAGTCTATAAGATCCAAAAGTAAATATTTTGCCGCCTGCCTCTCTGGCGTCGGCTTCTGATAAGCTTCTTTTTAGGCTTATCTTATAAACAAAATCTTTAACAAGTTGGTCAAGCCTGCCAAGAACTAATTCGCTGTTTACGCAAAGAAAAGATAATTAGTGTACTTGATCTCTGCACTGGACCTATAAGCGTATAGGTTGTCACAATACTAAACCATCCAACAGGTATGCATACCGCATTCTGCTTTCTTCTTCACTCTCAAAAGTTCCCTGTTTCTTAAGTTCTGCCACTAACAAATCTGTGACTTCTATTTCTCGTTCATTAGGAAAAGCCGTAGCAATAGGCGGTGTTATTCCAAAATGTTTTGGTCGACTGTTGAATAAAAATAGGCAGTCAGCTATACTCATTGATTCATAAGTTTCAGATCAAATTCCAGGTGTAAACTATTGAGAGATAGACTATCAAGATTTCTATTAGAGGACTGAACTGATGAGAATGTGTTTACCCATTGACAGTTTCTGACATCGCTGCTGCAGTGATATTATGTAACGACGGTAAGTCGAACAAGGTATATATTATGAATGAGTGAAGCGGCTCAAGTGATAAAATCGACGGAGAATTCAAACAGAAAAACAAGCACTATCCCGTCAGCCACGATAAATATGAAAACTAAGATCGCACACTTCCGAAGCCTCCAAAATGGCTGAATTGCAAAAAAGAATGCTCATGCACGTTGATTTGCGGACTTTGTATGATGATTGGTTGGGGTGTTTTTGTACTTTTTACTTTTGTCATTTATATCCATAAACTGAAAAGGCAATACATCGTTTGCAGTTTATTCAGCCAAAACGACCACGCATTAAGTAACTCTACTTCTTTTCTATTGCCATGAACAAAGAAAGTTGCTCGATGTGACAATAATGACGAAAAAATGTAGCCTTATTACGACAACGAAGACTTTATTCTCCTACACACTTAACTGCCACAGTTTATTTAAAATATTAGTCGTCATATCAAATAGACGAAGGATCTTCTCCCGGCAATAGAGTCAGGCAGAGATTAATAATAACGACAATAAAATGGGATACTATAAAAGTTTAATTTATGAATAGGAAAACTCAATATTGTTATTAAGACTCATTTTCAGTTGAAGTAACTACGGAATCGCCCTGGTCCGACCCAGGTTCCCTTAAGAAGACCTCGCCAATATATTTCAGGAATTATCTACGAAGTCGGAAAAGTAAATTTAATTTGATATAGATAATTAATTCTCTAATAAGCAGTTAAAACATGTTTACCTCTTTGGTTAGAAAATACATCGATCCACGTTCTTTGCCCTGATCAAACGGAAATGTTTCCATCGGAGTAGCATTGAATCCATTAAACTCTGCCAAGATCAACTGATCACGTCCAACAAACAATGGACAGCTGCAATAACCATCGTATTTGGCGGCTGTTAGCGGCGTCAAGTTGCCACGCATTGCAGATAATAGATTGTGTTTCAACACCCCGGATTGAACGGCAATAGCAGCTGCGGTCTTCGAAGTCGGTACCGAAGAAGAGTCACCGAGTGAGTATATATTTGGATACTTGTTATGCTGTAGGGTGTATTGGTCAACATCCACCCATCCAGCTGCATTGCCTATATTTGATTTCGCAATAAAATCTGGAGGCCCCATTGGCGGTACTGCGTGTAAGAAATCGTAAGGCAAGACCGATTCTTCGCCGGTTTTGTTTGACTTGAATACGGCTTCCTTTCTATCCGCTCGAATTTCGACGAGCTCACTTGATAAATTAACTTCTATACCACGATCTTTAGCTACCCGCAGGAGACTATTAGCGTACTTTTCCACACTAAATATTTTACCCATTCCAGTATTATATATTACGCGTGTTGATTGACGAACACCCGCATTTCGGAAGTGATCTTCAGCGAGATATGCTATCTTTATGGCTGCACCAGGACACTGAAAGGAACGAAAGGAAAAAGGTTTAAAACAGAGTTCTATACAATTCTCGAACATACCCGTATGCCGGTCTTACTTTTATAGGCGTGCTAGGCATAGTAAAGACAGCATTGCCTCCTTTGAATTCCTGGATAAATTTCCATGTCTTCTCGACCGAATCCTCAGCGTAATTACTAGAGACACCATTATTCCCAAGTGCTTCGGGTAAGCCTTTGACTTTATTCCAGTTCAATTGAATGCCTGCCGCGACCACTAGATAGTCGTACTTTATCTGCGATTGTGTATAGAAATATTAGATCAATCATAGGCTTAACAGAATCTCCAAAATATTTACCTGTTGACCATCTTGTAAGACAACAAAGTTAGACTCTGGCTTGACTTCAATCGCTTTGTTCTTAATCCATGAGACATTAGGGGGCATGACTTCTGATACGGGTTTAGAAGACGCTGAAAATGGTTTGACGCCGCCCCCGACGAGGGTCCATAATGGTTGATACTGCATGGGCGGGTATTGTACAGATGTTAGAAATGGGCAATATTCTCGACTTCACCAGTCATACGTCAGTAAGATAAAATATTATCATACATAATGTACACTCGCTGGTTCAATCACGGCGACAGCATTACGACCAAGTACTTCGGATAAAGTTGACGATACTACAAAAGTAGGACGGTACTAATAATAATTAATTCGGCCGATTAAGACTCAGCGCAAACAAAAGCCAAGTAACAGTTGGGTAAAGTTCTAACCAGCTAGACCTCCAGTGCCGCCACCTACATCATTATTGAAATTTAAGGTTAGTTCTCAAAAATATCATTTGTAGTCGAACGTTATGGTGAATAAACATACCCACGACAACCACTTGGTATGAGGATTGGCTTGGATTTGAAGACGCGAAACGCCTGTTAGATGGGAAGCGGCTGAGTCTAGAAAGAATATGTGTTCTGGCAAACATAGCGAACAGTTGGAGAATTTGTGACGCGGAAATATTAAATGGTGGTTGTTGAGTACCTGATCTTGTGAACAAAAAAAAAACGGGCATCCCAAATATGTATATGATCGGTACTTTTCGGGATTTGGCCATTTCTAAAGTCGTTTCGGGAATTCTTGAAATGGATTGATGTGATAGATAAATTCGTTTTCATTCCCCCGACCTGAAGACTTCAAGCATAAGCTTTGTATTGTTTATTTGCGTTCTAAGCAGTTTTATTCAGCATGTTGGCTATGCCTATTATGACCTATTGTCTCGATTTATCAGCTTTGAACATATCTTATGTAATCAATAATAACACGTGTCTTTGATTTAGTGTAAGAACCGTTTTCGCTATAATATTAGGCCAAGCTGAAGCTAGATTTCGTCTACTAACAATCAGCGGGACAGAATTGTGTAGAACGTCAGCCGCACTAACACTAGTTAGTACTAAAGACCAAGAGATATTATGGTTTGTTGCATTATTGATTGTTAGTGCCATGAAAAGAAGAAGACTGATACTTTTGCAGTATTAATGACGTGTTTCTATTTTCTCTATCGTCCAATAATTTAATACGGTAACTGGTTATTGTGTTTGGATTCACATAGAGAAGATAACATATTAATATGCCTGATAGTAATAGTACGAACTAGTTGACATATCAATGGGTGTTAATATCGATGTTTACTATTAACATTATTATTATCCTTGTCTTGTCTATATCTAATATCCCAACTCATAACTCAGTCTCCTTCAGTGTTGAGTTTTCGTTAGTCTTTCATTATTTGGAGCAAGGAGTTTTCATAGTTTGTATACATGTCTCAATTCTATTCTTATATTCTGCTCTTGACTATTTATATTGGGACAGACTGCAACAAAACCAGACAAAGTGAATATTTTATTATGTGACATAGATGAGAGGCTGGTGTGACAATTTGACTAATGATATGTGACAGACTATCCATATTTCTTGACAACCACAAGATGTCCAATATTCTTGACAAACACGAATTTCCCCATCAGTCCAGTTTTCTTGACGAGTCGTAGTCAATAGCTAAAACCATCGTTCAGATCAGACCATTCAGCAAGACGTTGCTATTAGGATAGTTCTTTATTCTAATGAAATCCTATTTAATTATAAATATTGTTATTTTCGTTTATTCCCTGATAAGAGATACTTAGCGTCGTTGGCGAAGTGTAAAACGCTTTCCCCGTCATCGGCGAATAGAATTAATACTTGCCAATTAATTCTATTTAGTACTTTATTGTCGACAGTTTAGAGAATATAATCCCCGTTTCGATAGGTCTTGAGATTAATCCCATCAAAGAAATCGCAGTCTCGAGATTAAACAATAACTAGGAAAGGCGTATACAAGACCGATAGTATACAGACAGATCGTGGGTATAAATCCTGTTTAAAAGGTCACTAATTGTATAGATATAAAGTAGGAAGAGTGAAAGCTTCCATTGGAAACGAACTAAATCCCAAAACGGCTAGTGCACCGCTGCTCTCCCAGGTGTAAGCTAGTCCGACAGCTACTGTATCTCTATATAAAAATATAAATAAGAAATTAATTATACCATGGAACGAAAAATTACAGCACTATTAGAAGTATTTTTAAAAAAGAACATGGTGAAAAAATTGCGCCTTACGTTTTTAAAATCAACAATACCAAAATTCTCGAGGAATATCTAGATAAAGGAAAAATTACTTATGAAATTTACCAAGAACGAAAAATAAAAACCAATAAACGAACATTAACAACAATAACTTATGATTAACCAAGAAAGAAACGAAAACATAAAGCAAAGGATCTAAATAATTATTTTCTTTTTATCAGTAGTATTATGAGCTACCATTTGATGAGTAGCAAGAGCACCATCAAAGTTAAGGAGAGTCATCCTTTGCTATTTTCAGAATTTTATATTCTAATCTCATATAATTTACTTATTCTTTTGAGCAAAAGTCTGAAATTTCCTTGGCTTTACTTACTAATTTTTTGAGTTTGCATAATCTACTTTCTTTTTGTTTTTTAGGTAAAACTGGTAATTCTTTGGTTGCTAAATAATCTCTTCTGCTTATTTCTTGATCTTTATTTAACAAACTGTTTTCTAATCACTTTATTCGATCTATAAGTTTGCCCATTTCAGCACTGTGCTTTAACACTGTTTCAGACATTTGGCGCTTTCTTCATCCTCTAACTCTTTTATCCTTGTTTCTAATTCCTTTTTTTTTCTTGATAAGTAAAACTAAAAGCCTCTTCATAATTTGCGCTTTCCTTAGAAAAACTTTTCACAATATTTTCAGGAGTAAATTCATTGCTAAAAACAACTCTTCCAATTTCAAGTCCATTCTTTTTAGGATAACTTACTCAACCCTTGTCAGGTCAAGTGTATCTTTCCAAGATTCTTATTAAAGAAGTACCAGTATATTTCGAACTTTCAGTAAGATTGTGAACCGCATTTCAAATTCTTAGTTTAAAGTTATCTTCTTTATCTGCTAACGTTTCTTTAACTTTTCGTTTTCTTCTAATAATTCTTTATTTCTCTGTTATTATGTTTACCATGCTTTTTTTTTGTTTATTA